TAACCAAATGAACATACAAACCCTAAAAATTATGAAACAAAAAAGAAAATAAGAGAAAATTGTGAACTTGAAACATCACTTAAGAAGATAAAATAATACTTAACAATGCAGAGGTAAGTGATGGATGTCATTTGAGCGATGCCAACTCAGATTAAATTAATAGCCATTATAGATATAAGACAAGATTGAGAATGGAAACTAAGAGGATTGTCTATTGTTGAAATTATAAATTTGATTTGGGCCTAATTATTATTAGGTTATTTGTGCTTAGTTATGTTGGGTTTAAGTAATTTTGGGTATTGTTTCTAGAGAATTATTGTAATGTTTAGAGTGTCTAAATATTTCTTATGATTGTAATATTTTCTAGAATACTTTTTAGATCTCTAGAGTTGACAACTCTCTAGAATTAGTGTGTCTAGAATTCTCCTTAGAGTAGTATAAATAGAGGTGTAATCTCACATACTTGCATCAAGCAAAATACAAAGTTCTCTCCTCCATAAAGAACTCTCATATCTATCAAGTTTTTATTCAAGTCTCTAATATTCCCACACACTTTTCCTAAACATAAAATGTCTTATTTCCAACAAAGTGGTACCAAAGCTTCAAGATCCTCAAAAGATGGCGAACATAGGTTTCTCTTTTCAAATGTGAATGCTCACAAAGAACAACTATGATAATTGGAGTATTAAGATGAAGACGCTAGTAAGAGCTCAAGATGTGTGGGATATCATTGAGAAAAGTTTCAAGGAGCAAGATGAGTCCTTGCTAAGCCAAGGTGTAAGGGAGACGTTGAAGGAGTCTAGAAAGAGAGACAAGAAAACTCTTTTTCTCATTTATCAATCAATGGATGAAGATACGTTTGAGAAGATATCCAACGCAACGTCTGACAAAGAAGCATGGGACAAGATTCAAACTTGCAACAAAGGAGTTGAGCAGGTAAAAAAGATTTGTCTTCAAACTCTTAGGGGTGACTTTGAACGTTTATTTATGGAGGAGTCTGAGATAATTTCAGATTATTTTTCTCGAGTATTAGTCGTTGTCAATCAACTTAAAAGAAATGGTAAAGATATTGATGAGGTGAAAGTCATGGAGAAAATACTTCGCACTTTAAATCCAAGTTTTGACTTCATTATCACCAACATTGAAGAAAACAAGGATTTAGAGACCATGACTATTGAGCAACTCATGGGTTCTTTACAAGCATACAAAGAAAAACAAAAGAGAAAAATTAAACAAAAAGAGACTATGGAGCAACTACTACAAGTCAATGCAAAGGAAGTAAACTATGCGAATTACAAGAGCCAAAGAGGACGAGGTCGTGCCCAAGATCGTGGACATGGACGAGGACATGGAGGAGAAAGAAGAGGCGGATACAACAAATACTCCAACAACTTCGAAAATGTAGAAAAAAGTTGGAATCCACAAGCAACAAGAGGTCATAGAAGAGGGACTTCATGGTTGAGGAGCGATAAATCACAAATCAAGTGCTTCAACTGCAATAAGATCGGTCACTATGCATCCGAGTGTAGATTCTCAAAAAAGGTGGAAGAGAAAGCTAACTTTGTAGAAGAAAAAGGTGGAAAAGAAGAAACTTCGCTACTCGCGTGCCAAAATCAAGCTTAAGAGAAAATAAACAAGTGATACGTAGACATCCGTGCAAGAAACCATATGTGCGGCGATTGAAGCATATTCGTAGAGATCAATGAAGCAACAACTGGTGATGTCTCATTTAGAGATGACTCGAAGATACCGGTCAAAGGCAAAGAGAAAGGCTATGACATCCACTTGAAAGAACATAGTCTTTTATGAAGAGATTGTAGGCATAACTTGATTGCTAAGGTGCCTATGTCAAAGAATAGAATGTTCCTATTGAACATTCAAAATAATGTGGCAAAGTTCTCAAGGCTTTCTATATTGATTCTTCGTGGCTATGACATCTACGATTCGGGAACCTTAACTTTGATGGTCTAAAACATTTGACGAATAAGGAGATGGTGAGAGGCTTTCCTAGCATCAACCATCTAGACCAACTCTGCGAATGATGTCAAATTGGGAAGAAATTCCAAAAAAGTTTTCCAAAAGAATCAACATCAAGAGCGACAAAGCCGCTAGAACTCATACACACCGATATTTATGGACCAATCAAACCCAGCTCTTTTGGTAATAATTAATACTTTCTACTCTTTATTGATAATTATTCCATAACAACATGGGTTTATTTCTTGAAGAAGAAGTTAGAAGTGTTTGAAAACTTTAATAAGTTCAAAGCCCTTATGGAGAAAGAAAATGGTATTTCCATTAAAGCAATGAGATCTGACCGAAGAGGAGAGTCCACTTCAAATAAGTTCAACAAATATTATGAAGATCATGAAATTTGTTGCCCACTGATAGTACCAAGATCACCACAACAAAATGGAGTAGCAAAGATAAAGAATCGGACCATACTTAAGATGGTGTGAAGCATGCTCAAGAGCAAGAAGATGCCGAAGGAATTTTGGGCCGAAGCAATGGCTTGTGCAGATTATCAGACAAATTATTCCCCAACAAGAAGCGTGCATGAGAAGACACCACAAGAAGAATGGAGTGGAAGGAAGCCCAGGATATCTCACCTCAGGGTGTTTGGAAGCATTTCCTATACCCATGTTCCAGACGAAAGGAGAATAAAACTCGATGATAAAAGTGAGAAGTACGTATTTATGGGTTACGACTCAAGTTCCAAAGGATACAGGCTCTATAATCCAAATAGTGGAAAGATCATCATAAGTCGTGACATGGAGTTCGACAAAGAATATTGTTGGGATTAGAGTGTTCAAGAAGATATGTATGATTTTCTTCCTTACTTTGAAGAAGAAGAAGACGAAATTGAACAACCAATAATAGAGGAACATGTTACACCACCTGCCTCACTCACACCAAGGTTGGATGAAACAAACTCGAGTGAGAGGACACAACGACTAAGGAAAATTGAAGAGCTTTATGAGGTAACCGAAAACCAAAACGACATTAACTTTTTTTGTCTTTTTAGTGATTGTGAGCCTCTAAACTATCAAGAAGCGGTAGAAAATATAAAGTGGAGAGACATCATGGACAAAGAAATCAAGTCAATCACGGAGAATGATACGTGGGAACTTAGTACACTCCCACAAGGACACACAGAAATTGGAGTAAGGTGGGTGTACATGGCAAAGAAGAAAGCAAAAGGAGACATAGAAAGATACAAAGTGAGATTGGTGGGGAAAAGATATAGTCAAAGACAAGGAATTGACTATGATGAGGTATTTGATCCCGTTGAAAAAAGTAAGCATATTGGCACCCGTTATCACTTCATAAGAGAATGCATCAAGAAGAAGAAGATGAAGTTGAAGTATGTGATGTCTCAAGATCAAGTTGTCGATATTTTCACCAAGCCACTCAAGTTGGAAACTTTCGCGAAGCTAAGAAGTATGCTTGGAGTCACAAATCAAGTTTAAGGGGGATGTTGAAATTATAAACTTGATTTGGGCCTAATTATTATTTGGTTATTTGGGCTTAGTTATGTTGGGCTTAAGTAATTTTGGGTATTGTTTCTAGAGAATTTTTGTAGTGTTTAGAGAGTCTAGATATTTCTTATGATTATAATATTTTCTAGAATACTCTTTGGATCTCTAGAGTTGAGAACTCTCTAGAATTAGTGTGTCTAGAGTTCTCCTTAGAGTAGTATAAATAGAGATGTAATCCCACACATTTGAATCAAGCAAAAATACAAAGTTTTCTCCTCCATAAAGAATTCTCATATCTATCAAATTTTTATTCAAACCTCTAATATTCTCACACACTTTTTCTAAACATAAAAAGTCTTATTTCCAACATCTATAACTTAATACTTAATGAGATTCAGAAGAGAATAAAGAGAATCTTTAATTTCAATCGAAAAAAGCGGTGGCGTTAGAAAGCAAGGTAGGAAGTGGAGGGTTCATCGGAATTAGGAAGATAATTTTCTTTATCTTAATTTCTTCTTTTTATAGATAATGAAAGATGATTTTTTTAAGAGAGAAAATAATCTAAAATAATTAAAAATAAATTTAAAGTTGAATACATATACTATTATAAGAAGTGTGTAATATAATTAATCACCAATGAGACATATCAAGTGACACATTATTATTCTTGACCCTGTTTTATGTGTATAATTTATTGTATATTAATTTCGAATTACATTTACAAGTGTAATTTTATTTATATAAAATAATAATAATAATAATATTTGATATATGAATTATTTAACGGATCAGGTTTGTCTCCCGTTAAATTATCATCGGAGAAAGTTCCCTGAAAATCCTAACCATTCAATTATTTTTTAAATGGATTTAATTTCAACTTTTAGAAAAAGAGGGGCTGAGATTTCATTGAAATTTAACTTAATGGAAGAGGATCCACCCCCATTATCTAACTTACTTGCATTCTAGTTATTTTCCTTCCAAGAAATTAGGAAAAGTCAAGACCAAAGTATCTATTTTCTCCATTCATGTGAACTTATTAATCCTAGAAACAATCTGTTAAAGATTACCTAAATTTATCAATCTTGAAAAAAGATTACATATTTACATGTCTTTCATATTGTCACACCTAAAATTCCGATCAACTAATGGTTTTAATTAACTATGAAAAATCAACAGATAGATTTAACAATTTCCATCAAGTCAATACATTTTGTTTGTTAGATTCATCCATTTTCTCACCATTGCCACCTTCATGACACATTTGTCAAAAACTGTCTTCAATTTTTTAACCATTATTATTCTCTCTTCCAAATAACAAAAGAAACACAACCTCCTAACAAGTAACAAAAAAAAAAAAGTCATCTATTATGGGTTCTCTCTTGATCATTTCTTCAATTCTTAGATACAAGTTTACAATTGATTGTTGACCTGAGCACAAAATCAATGTTGGGTTTTCATCTTGAATATTTTTTGTAAATCTTGAATATTATTTGTCAAGAGAGAAAAACTCAAACTTTGAGCATGTCCAATAAGAAGGTGAAGGGCCTTCTTAAAGGCCTTAGATATATATCTCAAATATTTGGTAATTAAACATCTATCTCTTTCATGCAATTAATTTATTATTGCATTTCTAAAATCTTATTTCTCAAATATTTATGTTATGTTAATTAAATAACATGTTATTTACATGCAGAAAATGAAAAAGAACAAGAAATACAAATTGGATGTCCTACAGATGTAAAGCATGTGGCCCATATAGGATGGGATGGACCCTCTGTAAATTCCCCTAGCTGGGTAAAATTAATAACTAATCAATTTATTTTTTTTATTAATAAGTTGTTTTTTCTTCACAAAAAAAAAAAATATTTGGTGATTTTTTTTTCTTCTTCTAGATGAATGAATTTAAAACCACTCAAGGATTTGCATCAGCACCAATGACTCTTACAGGAGATGCACAAAATAAAGCACAAGATAATCCAGTTAAATGGACTTCAGAAGGTATATTCATCATTACATTTTTTTTTCTTTAGTGTTGCAATTTTTTATTTTTGTATAATCTTTATGATATATAAAAGTATTTAAAACTTCCATTAGAAAAATATTTAATTTTTTTCAAGTAAGAATGTGATTTGATTGGTTGATTTTCAAATAGATTCAAAGAGACAAAGTTCAAGGAGTGTGAATTCTCAAACTCAAGGGAGAGATTTGCCTGAATTGCCAAAAGCATCAAGAAAACAAACAAATGGTAACACAATAGATTCTCCAACAAGAGAAAGGCCAAGACAAAGAAAAACATCATCCAACAAACCCTCAAACCTCAAAGAATCTTCAGATGGATCCAAACAAATCCAACAACAACAACAACTCGTCTCTAATGATTCAGAAATCCAACAATTAGACGGGTCAGAGGCTCATAATCTTCAAGAAATTCCGAAAAAGACTCGCCGAAAGAAGTCCAAAGATAAAGAAAATTTAAGTGGTGGATCATCTAAATTGAGAGTGAAAGCTCAAAAATCATCGGATTCGAATTTGGATTATGGATCTCCATCTTCAAAGCCTAGGAACATACCAAGTTCCTTTGAAGAAAATGAGAATTATGAAAGAGGAATGACTACGGTATCTTGAGGAATTGTTGTTGTATTTTCATGCTATTAGTTAGAGTGTTTCATAGATATAATTCTTTAAATTTCAACGTGATATTTTTATTTGAATACTATTCTCTTTTTTTTTTTATTATGATTAGAGAATCTTATTTTATTTGCAGATGGTTGATACTCGATATGTAATTATTAATTACTAATTACTAATTACTACAATTTATTCACTTTAGTTTTCATTGATTTGTATAAGATAAATTTAAAAAAGAAAAAAAGATCTTTCAAACTCGCGTGACTGCATTGATATATTTATACATCTATTAATTGAATATTCCTAAGATACTTAAGATACGAGATTTTTAAAACAATAAAATTTTAATTATTTTTCAGCCAATCAATAACTTGATCGCAATAGTATTTAAATGCATGATATTGATTAAATTTTACTATTGTCTCTCTAAGTTTCAAGTTAACTATTTTGAATCAATATTTTTATGTTTGTGGTTGGAATATTTCTTGCTTAAATAAATCTATATTAGCGAAAGATTAGAATTGTTTTAAAATTTTAAATTAAGAGTAAATCAATCTAAATTTGAAAATTAAAATGAGTATATAAATGAATAAAATTGTAAATATAAAATAAAATAAAATTGAAATAAAAAAAACTAATACTATAAAGACTTCAATTTTTTTATAGGTAAAAGTAATCTTCTGAAGTTGGATTTCACTCTTTATAGTAAAAAATTGGAAATATTTTTTTTTGTAATAATCAGATATTAAAAAAAAATCACAAATAACCATGTTTCGGAGAAAATTACGCAAATAATCATGTTTCAGAAAATCCTACAATGGATGAGCCAACCCAGTTGGCGCATGCACCTTATTTTAAAGGGGAGACGCCATCTCACTTGGTGCCTATGTGTGAAAGGCTTGCCCTAAGCCAAATGAGATGGCGCCTTAGTGCAATTGGGAGACAGTTTTTTGCGTTTTTTATTTTAAATGCGGTACGTTACGTAAATGATATAGGATCATGAAAATTGACTTTTTATTTACACAATATGATTACACACATAACGATTACATAAAAAATACAGATTAATCAGTGGTCCCCCGGAACCCGGTAATGACCCCCGGTTCCGCATCTCCGTCCTCGCCTTTCCCGTGCTGGGTTTTGTCGCATTTCCTGTTGTGGCAGGATCGATGGCCCATCGAAGTTAATGCGTTCCGGATCCATGAAATCAATCAGATCTCCATATCTAGAAGATTCGCTTTGGTACATTCGGTTACCCATACCCTCAAAGTTTAGTCGTGTTGGTGGTGGGTGGGGTTTTATGGTTGGTCTATAGCACTGGTCGTCTGAGTGCGGGGGGTAAAAAGGAAATGGATATTGGGGTGTTTGGTATTGGGAATGTTGGGTGCTTTGGTGATGTGGTGGTTGATGGTAAGTTGGATCGGTTGGTTCATAATCTTCAGAAAATCTCAGATCAGGGCTAAGGTTAAATGTTGATGGGCCCATATTGGGATATGTAGAAGACTGGAATTGTGTGTGGGGCATGCGGGTGTATTGGTATTGTGATTGAAATTGTGGTTGGGTGTGAGGCATATGAGGGTATTGGTATTGAGGTGGTGATTGTGGTTGGTTGTGGGGCATGTGGGTGTAATCGTATTGTGGTGGTGATTGTGGTTGGATGTTTGTGGTTCTGTTTCGTCGGGGAGGTTGGTGGGAGGTTGATGTGTGTTGAGTTTGTTGTTGGGGAAATGAGGGTTGTGCCCATTGTGTTTGTGGGCTAACCAAATACCTTAGATGAGATATGTGCATTTCTAGGGTACTAACCGATCTATACCAAGCTAAATATTGATCTGTGTGTCGCATATTACCATGGTGGAGGAAAACTGGGAATTGCAAGACATGTCGGTGACGCCTCTGCCACATCTTACACCATTCTGGAGCAAAATCTTTCCAGTTGATAAGACCCCATTGGGCGTCGATCCTTTTGAGATGCCACGGGGACAAACAAGTTAGATCACATGGTATCTCTTGATGCATTCCAAACTGCATCTTGACACGGTCGTTGTGACGCATCTCCACAATATTGAACCGTATGATTGCTGTCTTTGCGCTCCAAATTGTTGCATCCTCGGAGTTTGGTTCATGGTTCAAACCCAAATATGATCTCCAGACAAACTGCAGATAAAATTAAATTAGCTTAATGAAAATGTAATAAATAAATAATTTAAAAGTAGAAAAGTTGAAAGGTATAACATACATCATCCGGGCCAAGGTGATCCAATAGATTGCGATATAGAGCGACATTGAATCTTGGATTCTTGCCGTAATCCATACCCCTCACGCAGTACCTAAAGGAATTGAAAAATATTTTATTTTTATCATATATTTGGTAAAGAGATGAATAATAATAAATTATATAAGTTAATGACTTACTTTGTTGCGTATGGGAAAACGAATGTGTTGTTGTTGACGGGGTTTAGGAACTCCATTCTCCACCAACCTCAGGCTTGAAGTAAAAAAGTGCATCCATAAAATGTACATTTTTCCTTGATTGCATTTTTACACAAGGAACTGTATAGATGGGCTAAAACTGCAGAACCCCGACTATACTTTCTAGTTTTTTCAAAGTCTCTAAGTAAATTTAAATACATAAAATTTACACTATTTTCCGTACTTTTGGGAAATAAAAAGGTTCCAAATAGTATCATTATATAATTTCTAGCTTTTATTACCTTAGCTAGCTCGGAGGAATTTTCGTTCAATTCCAGAGTCGCGTAATGATTTTTGAGCTTAGTAAGTAGTATACCCTGACCTCTCGCACCACCACCTTCAACCATATCCCTGCCCAATAATTCTTCACACAGAGAATTAGGCTGTTGAACCGACTCGTTAACCTCCTTACAGTCGACAGGGAGACCTAATAACATGTACACGTCCTCTAGTGTGACGGTACATTCACCTATTGGTAGATGAAATGTATGGGTCTCTGGTATCCACCTTTCCAACATTGCAAGTATGAACTTTGAATCAATCGTGTAGTTGAAGATCTTTATAACGTTTCCGAAACCTGGGCATTTGAGATAGGGAATGATCAACGGGTCGGGAGCAAGGTAGTTGTGTGACCGAATTCTGAATCTTTTTAGTATCTTAAGTTTAGAATGTAAAAATTGTAAGAGTCCATAAGATGAATAAAGCTTTAATAGAAGTATGAAAAATGTATAAGTATACAAGAAACTTATAAACGCTGCAATGTTGTCTCATGTGCCTCTGTGAGAATCGCCCATTGTGACAAGAGCCATTGCTGAAATTATCTGAGATTATGAAAGAGTTTAAAATTGTCTGAGATTATGAAAGAGATTGTAGTAGAGAGTGAGACGATTGTGGATGCAATAGAAGTATGTGAGGCTCTATATTTATAAGAAATTTTTTATCACAGAGTAAGTGAGGTGGCTGGTGGGTGCATGCATGCATGATAAGTGTCACTCTTGTAGTGTAGGTGTAGGCTAGGTGGCAGCCATGGGGAAGGCATCTCTGCATGCATATAATACGATTGGACGTGTAGGGAGGCTCCATTGGACTTGGCGAATGAGTACAAAAATGAAAGGTATCGCCATCTCTGTTGGTTAATTAGAGGTGGCATGGGTTGTAGTGTAGGTGCAGGCTAGGTGGCAGCCTTGGGGAAGGCATCTCTACATGCATGTAATATGATTGGATGTATAGGGAGGCGCCATTGGACTTGGCAAATGAGTACAAAAATGAAAGGTGTCGCCATCCCTGTTGGCGAATTAGAGGTGGCATGAGTTGCAGTGTAGGTGCAGGCTAGATGGCAGCCTTGGGGAAGACATCTCTGCATGCATATAATACGATTGAACGTGTAGGGAGGCGCCATTGGACTTGGCGAATGAGTACAAAAATGAAAGGTGTCGCCATCCCTGTTGGCGAATTAGAGGTGGCATGGGTTGCAGTGTAGGTGCAGGCTAGGTGGAAGCCTTGGGGAATGCATCTCTGCATGCATGTAATATGATTGGACGTGTAGGGAGGCGCCATTGGACTTGGTGAATAAGTGCAAAAATGAAAGGCGTCGCCATCCCTGTTGGCGAATTAGAGGTGGCATGGGTTGCAGTGTAGGTGCATGTTAAGTGGCAGCCTTGGGGAAGGCATCTCTGCATGCATGTAATACGATTGGACGTGTAGGGAGGCTCCAATGGACTTGGCGAATGAGTACAAAAATGAAAGGTGTCGCCATCCCTGTTGGCGAATTAGAGGTGGCATGGGTTACAGTGTGGGGGCATGCTAGGTGGCAGCCTTGGGGAAGGCATATCTGCATGCATGTAATACGATTGGACGTGTAGGGAGGCGAATTAGAAGTTGCTTACTGTTGTTTTATTCAAATTCAGTACAACCTATTTAATCTTACATTTATCAAAACACTTCTACACTTAATCACTCAAACACTAGAACATTCAAAAATTCAAACAATTAAGTCAAAGACTCAAACAATCAAACACTTTAACCTTCAAACCTTCAAACAGTCATACACAATGGCCTATGCACCCCAATATGTGATCAGTGCACATTTCAACAGTGAGACATACATTTGTCCCACCTATGGATTTTTGTTTAGAGACACTGAGAACATCCAATTTTGTTTAAACAAGAAAGCCAATTTCTTATATTTCAAAAAACGATTAGAGGCCAAACTTGGACGAGGTCCCATGACACAAATCTTTTATCAGAATCCGATTTTTTTTGTAACAACCAAATAATATTTTATAAGGTTGAGGTTCAAGATGACGAGGACCTTCAAAATATATTTTCCAGTCATGAGTATTATGGGTACGACTCTATTGAGTTGTACATTATGCTGCGAGAGCCTCAGCTGTCACAAGTGGTTGATCCTCTGGAGAGCGAACAAGCAGAAGTATATATCGTTGACGACGAAGAAGATGGAGAGTTAGAGTTTGACGACATGGTCAACAATGATTACAAAGACGATGGGATACCTGGTATACCTTCAA